CCACAGAGAACAACTAGTGGCTGGAGACCATGGATGCTGCTAGACACCCTACAGTGCACAGGACGGCCCCCACCCTAAGTGTGCACAGCAGCGAGAGGGAGGAGTCCCGCTCTAGCCGCAGGCCTGTCTGTCAAACAAGGGCCACTCCAGCAGACTTTGTTCCCGCCCGTCTCAGAATTTCTGGGATCTGCCCGGGTTCCCAGCATATAGTAAAGGTTCTGCCGGTACCAAACCCAAACCAAACCCACTGCTATGGAATCAATTCCGACTCATAGCGACCCTATAGAACAGAGTAGAACTGCCCCATAGGGTTTCCAAGGAGCGCCTGGTGGATTTGAACTGCTGACCTTTTGTTTAGCAGCCAAGCTCTCAACCACTGCGCCACCAGGGATCCATGCAGATACCCTTAAGTAAATAAATGGAGTCATGAAGGACTTCTCCTGCAGACACGCAAAAGCCAGCATTCTGTTGCTTCCGCGGCTGACCCTTCAGAGGCCGTGGCTCTGTATTTCTCGCCGCGCAGACTGTCCCGTTCTTGCAAAACGGTTTCTTACATCTCCATTTCCCTTCCTCTCGGGGAGGCACAGGACAGACGGTCTGGCATAATTGAAGGACACTAGTACTTGCACCCTCAGATTTTTGCCAAAGAAAATTCCTGGAAGGATGTTCTGAGGCCCCTGCTCCTCAGTCCTCCAATTCTCTTGGCTCCTTCTCCAAACCAAACCCGTTGGCGTCGAGTCGATTCTGACTCCTAGCAACCTCATGACTCGGCTCTTTCCCCAGGGATGTATTAATATGGGAACTGTCACCACACATTGCAGGAGCAGCCCCTGCTTTCCCGTCTGTTCAACACGTCACTGGAGACACCGCCTTTGACCCAATTTCATTATTTTAAGGAAAAAAAAAAATACTGTAGAGAATAGAATAATTGAAATGTGGTAGGTAGAAGGGGTTTATCAAGTGCTCTGAATTAAGCCCAAACTCATCTGATGTTCTTTCGTGGTTTAAAAAATCCACGGCCATCACCACCAAGTTATTTGGAAAATATTAGTTTATTATCCAATGTACAGTATATTGACCTTAAAACTACAGTCAAGCAGACATGGAAATCGCAAGTCTCCCAAATCCGGGACCACAGACTGACTCAGGATGGGGGGAGGTTGAGGCAACGCAGCTGCTGTTGGAACACTGCAGAGGAAACGGTTCCGGGCCCTCTTGGGAAGGCCTGGATTCCGTGGTTGGAGGGTCACAGCTTAGCTGTCTGGGCTTCCCCGCTCTCCCCTCCCCCTACCACAGCTCCCCAAATCCCAGCCTCCCCCGCAGCTGGGAAAGTAACAGAATAGTGGTTCCTGAATTTGAAGGCGGGCGGGGAGGGAATTTAAGAAAACAGACATATTTCCATACCTGCTGTAATGTATCCAAGTCTTGTAAAGACCAATAATTTATTATGTTTAATGAGACAGAGAGTACTTCTTTGTCTTTCGAGTCTCATAGTCTGATTAGAAAGAAAAAAAAAATATATATATATATATAAAACACTATATTAAAGGTGAGTTCTGGAGAAAAAGAGTTCTTTCATATACAGTGAAACTTGGGAGAGCCAGGACTCCGTGGGACGGCCTCATTGCTCCGGGTCACACAAGTTTCCCTCCTTTGACAGGGTGCCGTTTTACCACTTTTCTAGTGCTCCTGTTAGTGGAAAATATTTGAGTTTTCCTTCTCTGACAGGTTTACACAGTACACAGGTTCCAGCAGTCACCGATTTGACTGTACAATGAAACTGAGTATTAAAAAAAAAAAATCGATCTCAGGCAAAGGCTGTAGAACCTGAGGAACACGCAATCCACGTCACGGGATTGTATTCGTGGAAATTGCTGAACTCGCGAAGGTTTTGTTGTGTATATTTTTCAGCACAATTAAAAAAAAATCAATCACTGAGAGGGAGCAGTGGTGGTTAAGAGCTTGGCTGCTACCAAAAGGTCGGCAGTTCGAATCCACCAGCCGCTCCTTGCAAACCCTATGGGGCAGTTCTACTCTGTCGTATAGGGTCTCCATGAGTTGGAATTAACTCGACGACAGCGGGTTTGGTGTTTAGAGGAGGGGGCTGGGGTCAGTTTTTGCTTGGGGAGCACGTTGTTTATTTTAATGCTGGTGAAATAATTAAAAATAAAAAGCAACTCATAGCGACCCTATAGAACAGGGTAGAACTGCCCCACAGGGTTCCCGAGGCTGTCATCTTTACGGGGGTGGACTGCCACATCTTCCTCCCGTGGAGCGGCTGGGGGGCTCGCACCGCCAACCTTTTGGTTCACAGCTGAGCACTTAACCACTGCACCACCTGGGCTCCTGAATTTGAAGAAGGATAGTGATAATGATTGTACAGCATGAGGAGCAACATACTCAACGTCACTGAGTTACACAGTTAAAACTTGCAAAAGCAGAACCTATCTAAGGTGGGAACCTGTCAGGGAAGGAAACCGCAAATGTTTTCCGTTAAAAGGACCCACAGACAAGTGGTCAGACTGCACCCTGGGAAAGGCGGAAAACTCGCGAGACCCAGAAAATCAAAGCCGTCTTGTTGACTTGTTAGTAAGTGTCGAATGGGCGAACGTTTTGTGGTCTGTATTTCACCACACTAAAAACTGTTTTTAAAAAATCGACTGCTCTGATTCTAAAAGCCTTGTTGGGTCAGCGGGCGTTGTGAAGGGACAGGGGAAATAAATGAAATACCAGGACTCGTTCTAGGCTGTTTTATGTTAAAACGGCAGCGGGTTAACTAGGAGGTGCGTCTACAGTGTGGCAGCAAGACGCTGTTAATGTCTGCAGTTTGTGTTCGGTGACAGCTCCTCAGAGATGTCCTTCCGATGCGGATGAAGGCGTCAGAGGAGTGTTGGTGAAACAGAAATGGCAGCTCGGGTGCCATGGAACGCCAGACAGGAACACAGGACGTCCGATAACCGTGAAGGAAAGCCCCCAGGGAGGCTGACTCCGGTTACCCCGCCTGCGTTACTTCCTTTAGGCCATGAATCAAAGGTCAAGGTCATCCTCAACTTGAAACCCACCCGGGGACCACCAAGCACCATGAAAAATCCTTTTAAGCGCAGCGTCTGCAGGCGCTGGCTTCCTTGACGAATGACCGCCTGTTCTCGCTCCCCAAGCCGTGACTCTGCAGCCCAGGTGGCCCGGCTGCTCTCTCAGAAGACGTGGATGTAAGTGGTCTTGGAGTCCCTGCCCAGGATGTTCCTGGCGGTGCACTTGTAGAAACCAGCGTCTCTTGGAGATGCCTGCTGGATGGTCAGGGCGCCCTGCGGCTGCAGGAATTTGTTCCCGTAGATACGAGCCTGGGTGCCGGCGGTCAGGTGGGACTTGTCGGGCAGCTCCCACATTATCTGGGCTTTGGGGATGCCCATGGCCAAGCAGCTCATCTTGACAGTGCTCCCGGGACGGGCGTAGATGACGGGCGTGGGCTCGCTGGTGATGCGAGGCGGGTAGGCGATGATGATGACAGGGACGCTCAGCACGGAAGGGCCAGACTCGGTGTCCGCCGTGCACGTGTAGGTCCCCCGGTCAAACACGGAGGCCTCGTGCACCGTGAGCGTGCCGTTTTCCCAGAGGGTGAAGCGCCCCACTTCTTGGGGGACCCCCAGGACCATGCCGTTGGGGAGGGTCCAGGAGAAGCGAGTAGGCCGGCCTGCCTGGACGCCACAGGGGAGATGCAACGTCTCCCCGTTGATGATGCTGACCACGTTTTGCTGCTGGCTGCCCGCCGCGGCCTTGAGCCCCACCTTGAGAGACACCAGCCGCTCCGAGTAGCCAGCGGAGTTCCTGGCCACGCAGCGGTAAGCCCCGGCGTCTGCAGAGGACAGACTGCTGATGTACAGCCGGCCGTCTCCCCTGTGGTAGAAGCGTTGCAGCTGCCTGCTGCTCTGCAGCTCCGTCCCGTTGGGAAGGATCCACAGCAGCGTGGGCGCCGGGCTCCCCCCGGCAGAACAGTTGAGGCTGATGGTGTGCCCGGCCATGGCGATGATCTTCTCGCTCACCGGGTCATGGAACACGGGCTTCTCCACTGGGTCCAGGACCGTCAGCTGGACGATGAGTCTGGCCTCCCCACCTTCGTTTCGGGCAATGCACGCAAACTGGACCGAGTCGCTCTTCCTCAGGTTGCGGATGTCCAGAGTGCCATTGCGGTGGACCGTGATCCGGTTCCCGTAGTACGGGGCGGGCAGGACCACGCCCTCGGGAAAAGCCCACGATGCCCTTGGAGCCGGGATGCCTTCCGCTCTGCAATCAATGAGCTTCCGACTCCCTCCAGCTGCAATCTCCCGCACGGTGGTGATGGTGTTGGGGTTCCCGTTGATCTTGGGCGGCTGGACACGGACCTGGATCCAGACGACCTTTCTGTCCTCTCCGGCGCTGTTCCGGACCACACAGGTGTAGTTACCGCTGTCGGACCTCTGCGCCTTGTGAATGAGAAGGGTGCCATCTTCGGAGACTTGGTACTTGCCGGAGGACGCGGGGATCAGCCTGTTGGTGGGAGACAGCCAGGTCACCCTTGGCGTGGGTTCCCCTTTGGCATCGCACATCACAGTGACCACATCCCCGTAGGGGACCTGGACGACGGAGTACGTCTTGTTTCGGATTGCCGGGGGCTCTGCCACCACCTTGACGCGCACCCTCATTTCATCCTTGCCCACCTGGTTCTCGGCAAAGCAGATGTAATCACCCTCTTCTCTCATCCCCACCTCATTGAAGTACAGTGTGCCGTTGTTGAAGACCACGTAGCGCTTGGTCCGCCCACCACTGTCGTCCGACTGCATAAAGGGGTTGACCAGACTCCCATCGGGGAGACTCCAGGAGATCTCTGGGTTGGGGAGCCCCGTGGCTACGCAGTCCACTTTCAGATCCCCCCCGTAGAAGACCTTGTGGTCATTCTCCTCCTTGTGCTCGATCTTGGCCGGCCTCATCACCACGTTCACCTTCAGCACCACGTAGTCATCACCGATCTTGTTCCGGGCGACGCACAGGTAGTCCCCTGCGTCTTTGTCTGTGACGGACTTCACCACTAGGGTCCCGTTGGTAAACACTTTGATTCTGGGGTCAAAGCTAATGGAGAAAAAGAAAGAGAATACCATGTAAGTCTCCCAGGTGAGCTCCCTAGCTTCGGGTCACAGGGACAGAAGGAAGACGCGTGGTGCTGAGAAACACAGGGGCACACGGCACTTACTGCGGATTGTCAGAAGGTTTTGGTGGCTTGGACAGAGTTACGTCCAGTGCTGACATGATTTACTACACGGAAGAATCCCCTGCTGGATTCTGACCTCAGCTGGCCCGGGCATTAATTTGTGGGTTTGAAATGCAAAGACTTCAGTCCCGTAAACACGAGTGTGTGTGGTCAAGTATTTGATTGTCAGCGGTGTAAACAGTTTGTGCTCAGCTGCTAACCAAAAGGTTTGTGGTTTGAGTCCACCCAGAGGCACCTCGGAAGAAAGCCCTGGTGACCTGCTTCTGAAAAATCATCCTTGGAAACCCTGTGGAGCACAGTTCTACTCTGATACACACAGGGCCACTATGATTGGGAGTCGACTCAACGGCAACGGGTTCTTTTGTTGTTGTTTGGTTTATAGAGTGAATTGTAATGATAGAATCAGGAAAACACTACAGGCATGGAGAGGATGAATCTGAAATAACTTTATAAGAGGTTCAGTTCTTCTGGAAGAAAAGACTTTAGGTACTTCTTCTACTCATGACAATTTCTTACAACATTTCATCTCATCAGGAGGTATAACCCACCAAAACCAGTTGCCCTTGAGTCAGTTTCGACTCATGGCAACCCCCTGTGGGTTGGAGTAGAACCGTGCTCCATAGGGTTTTTTGAAAGTAAATTGCCAGGTCCTTCTTCTGAGGCACCTCTGGGTGGACTCGAGCCTCCAAGGTTTTGGTTAGCAGCTGAGCACATTAACCACTTGCACCACCGAGGGACCCCAAGAAGCAGCAAAATCAAAAAGAAAAAGAAAACAACCCTGTTGCCATCAAGTGGATTCCGACTCATAGCTACCCTATAGTACACAGTAGAACTGCCCATAGGGTTTCCAAGGAGTGGCTGGTGGATTCGAACTGCTGAGCTTTTGGTTAGCAACCGACCTCTTAACCACTGCACCACCAGGCACCCCAAGAAGCAGCAAAGCAGCTGCAATATTAACCATGTTAATTGTGTTCATGTCCAGAGGATCAGTGCTAAAATTAGATTCTTCAGAGCTTGGCAACGTCGGTGTAAAGCCTTCTGCCATAGAATCCATTTCTAAAGTTAAATGGCACTGACCAGCGAAAACCTCAGTGCTGGAGTTCCATTGCTCTGTCTGAAATGACAAAAGATAGACTGAATGATGGAAAACACCTGGCAACCGATAGCGGTGATGGGTGCACAACGTGATGGCCGTAATTGTGTCACCAGATTGCCCATGTAAGACATGTTTAGACGGCAGATGTTTTCTTACAGAAGATGCACTCACCACGATCTAGAAAAGAAACAATGGGACCTTAACCCCGGCCCTTCTGAGTTAATATTTACAAAAGATGTTCAGTGAAAAGGGGCAACACAGAGAATGATGGAAAGATTCTTCAGTACGTAGATGACGTGTTTATAAATACTGTCCTGTCCTTGAGCAATTCGGAACTAACGTCTTGGATAACTCAGTGAAAAGATTTGGGAGGTTCAGAGTTCCAAAGCGGCCGGATCAAAAATCTCGATTACATGCCAATTTTAATGGTGGCATTATGGGGTCCTTGATTTTAATCCCTAAATATTCCCAGTTGTTAGGTTGTTGTTGGGTGCGGTCTTGACCATTCCCACTCGTAGTGACCCAATAGGACAGAGTAGAACTGCCCCATAGGGTTTCCTAATCTTGATGGAAGCAGACTGCCACATCCTTTTTTTTATTCCATGGAGCAGCTGCGTGGGTTTGAATCACCAACTTTTCAGTTAGCAGCCAAGAGGTTAACCATTGTGCCACCAGGTATTTTTGCTAAAAATTTTGTGAAGAAAGATGGTATTTTTATTAAAAATTCCCTAAACACTGTGTTATGCTAACAGCATTTTTAGAACTGTGCCATAGATCTGGGGGTGGAGGTGGGGGGCGGGGAGGAGGAATGGTCTACCTGTAACTGAATTTAGAGTCCCTGGGTGCTGCCTCGGGGTGGACTCGAACCTCCAACCCTCAGTTAGCAGCCACACGCTTAACTGTTTGCACCACCCAGGGCCTCCATGGTCTGGAGCACAGGGGGCAAACTCTGTGCGCATTCATTTGGGCCAAGGACGCTGCCCTTTTGGGCCTGACCACATGGAAATGTGCCCCAGGGCTGTCTCCACCCTCCGACGGACAGAGGAGCGCAGACCCCACGCATCTGCAGCAAGCTGGGAGCCACCTGACAACGTGTAAAGGCGCCCGGGGTTTCTCCTCCATTCAAGGCACAAGGCACGCAGGAACACTTGCATTCGTAGCCACCCGGAGCCCCCCGACCACACAGAAAGGTGTCCCAGCGCTGTCTCCCGCATCCAAAGAGCGAGGCGCGCAGGAGCCTGCGTCGGGTACAGTGAGTGGGGGAGCCCCTACCTGAACAGCGCATCTACCATCTGCTGGGACGGCAGTCTCCACTGGGTGCGCGGCCAGGGGTCCCCCGAAGCGCTGCAGTCGAGGCGCAGAGTCCCGCCGTAGCGCACGTCAGTCCTCCGCGGGGACGTGCCGGTGATGCGCGCGTTGGCCGCGGCGCGCTGTACCGTCAGCTGCACTGTTCTGCGCGCGGAGCCCACCAGGTTGGCGGCCACACACTCGTAGCGCCCGGTGTCCTTGGGTGACAGGTTGCGGATGTAGAGTGTGCCATTGGGGAAGACAAAGAGGTTCCCGCGGACGAACTGTGAAGGGCGCACCTGGGTGCCGTCGCCCAGCACCCAGCGCACGCTGGGCAGCGGCGCGGCCTTGGCGGTGCAGTGGATGTGGATGCTGAGCCCGGGGGGCAGCGAGATGTTCTCCTGCTTCTCCTGGTGGATGACTGGGGGCAGGGCTGCCACGTGCAGGCGGATGGCGAGGCTGTCGGCGCCCGCCGCATTGCTGGCCACACACTTATACACGCCTCTGTCCGAGAAAGACGCCTCCTTGATGGACAGGGTGCGGTTCTCATGCAGCGTGACCCGGCCCTCCACGGGGGACACAGTGTGCCACACCGTCCTGTCGGGGAAGATCCAGGAGATCTGGGGTGCGGGGGTGCCCTTGGCCAGGCACTCCATGGCAATGGTGTCTCCAAGGTAGACGGTGACGTCCTGGTAGTGGGAGGCGAGGATCTGGGGTTGCTGCGTGGTCACCATGAGCAAGACCGGCATGGTGTCCACACCATGCAAATTCTTGGCAGTGCACAGGTACTGGCCGTGGTCCTGCACCTGGACTCTCCGGATGACTAGGGTGCCATTTTTCAGGACTTGGAACCGCTGTACCCGCGTGTTGGGAGTTATGAGAGCGCCTGCAGGGAAGCAATACATAAACTCAGGTTCCATATACATGAGCCCAGATGAGTATGACTGCTTACCTGATTCAGGAGTGCTGGTGGCCAATGGTTAAAGTGCCTCAGCTGCTAACAAAAGGTTGGCAGTTCGAACCACCTCCCCCCCCCAGTAGTTCCATGGGAGAAAGACTTGACAGTCTGCTCCCGTAAAGATCACCGCGCTGGAAACCCTATGGGGCCGTTCTACTCTGCCCTGCAGGGTTGCTGTAAGTTGGAATTGACTTGAGGGCACACAACAGCAATTATCTGGTTGCAGCCCCTGGGTGTTGAAAATGGTTAAGCGCTCGACTACTAGCCAAAAGTTGGCAGTTCAAACCCACCCAGTGGCACCTCAGAAGACAGGCCTGGCGATCTGCTTCTGCAAAGTCACAGCCTTGAAAACCCTATGGAGCAGTTCTACTCTGCACACATGGGGTCGCCACGATTCGGAATCCACTTGACGGCAACAGATGATAATTAGTTGATTGGATTCTCCTATTTACGTCTTCGATGCTGTTTCGTCAAACACTGGTCTAGGAGTTGCTGTGAAGGTGTTTTGTAGATGTGATTAACATTAAAGAGAATAGCCTTGATAATGTGGGTGGGCCTGATCCAATCAGTCAAAGGCCTTAAGAGCGGAACAGGTTTTCCAGAGAAGGGAGAATTCTGCTCAAGGTAGCAGCATCAACTCTTGCCTGAATTTCCAGTCCACTGTCTGACCTACCAATTTTGTACTCAAGACTTCAGGACTAACTCGGGTAGTTTCCTCTCTGCCGGTCTGCCCTACAGATTTCAGACTTGCCAGTCTCTACAATTGCCTGAGTTAATTCCTTAACATAAACCTCTCTCTCTCTATATATATATATATCTGTCTGTATATACACACATAGGGTTTTCATTGGCTGACTTTCAGAAGTGGATCGCCAGGCTTTTCTTCCTAGTCTGTCTCAGTCTGGAAGCTCTGCTGAAACCTGTCCACCATGGGTGATCCTGCTGGTATTTGAAATACTGGTAGCACAGCTTCCAGTATCACAGCAACACACCAGCCACCACAGGATGACAGATGGGGGGGGAGGGTGTGGAAGCTATTTGAGGTGGTAACAAGTTGGCGCTGACAACATGCATATCAACATATCTATCTTCATCTATCTATTCATCTATGTATCTGTCATCTTTTTATCTTCCCTATCATTCTATCATGTGTGTGTCTTTCTGTCTGTCTGCCTGCCTATCTATCATCTACCTATCTCTCTATCTCTGAACCTGTCTCTAAATCTAGTATCTTCCCTATCATCTATCCTTATCTATCAATCATCTACCATCTATTATCTCTTTTTTTTTTATTGTACTTTAGATGAAAAGTTTACAGAGCAAATTAGTTTCTCATTCAACAGTTAGTGCACATATTGTTTTGTGACATTGGTTGCCAACCCCATGACATGTCAACACTCTCCCTTCTTGACCTTGGGTTCCCCATTACCAGCTTTCCTGTCCCCTCCTGCTTTCTTGTCCCTGGCCCTGGGCTGGTGTGCCCCTTTAGTCTCGTTTTGTTTTATGGGGCTGTCTAATCTTTGGCTGAAGGAGTGACTTCACCACTGAGCTAAAAGAGTGTCCGGGGCCATACTTGCGGGGTTTCTCCAGCTATCAGGCCAGTAAATCTGGTCTTTTTTTCTGAGTTAGAATTTTGTTCTACATCCTTCTCCAGCTCCGTCCAGGACGCTGTGCTGTGGTCCCGCTCCGAGCAGTCAGTGGCGGCAGCCGGGCACCATCTAGCTATACCGGACTCAGTCTGGTGGAGGCCGTGGGAGTTGGGGTCCATTATGTACCTATCTGTCCATCATCTATCAGTCTATCATCTATCTATTTCTCGATATCTCCCTACCATGTCTACCTGTCTCTTGTCTTCCTATATGTATATCTATATCTATCTCCAAATCTATTATCTATCTCTAAATCTGTCTATCTATCTGTCTATCTATCTATCGATCCATCCATCCATCCTGTTTGCTCTGTCTCTCTGGAGAATCTTGACTAATACAATGTCCAAGACCACAAAAGCAAAGACCTGCCCACGCCCCCAATATGCAGGAGAGGAAGCCTTGTTAGACCGTCTCCACGGACTCTTATGCCACATTGATGCCTAGGGCAGCTCTCATGGCTTGAATAGACTTCAGAAGTTGGCCTGAGCCCTAGGTCCCCTAAAGTGGTCCCCTCTGTTGCTTCAGTTACTGGAGACACAGCTACCGCCTACTCAGCCCAGCCTTGTTTCTGCTGCACTGCCCTCCTGAGCTCTGGGCCAGCTGCACAGACCCCCAGGCATGCAGCCATGGTCCACCTGCCCCACGGGGCTCCTGAGCTGTCATCCTGAGCTCTGGGACAGCTGCACAGACCGCCAGGCATGCAACCACGGTCCACCTGCCCCGCTGGGCTCCTGCACTGTTGTCCTGAGCTCTGAGCCAGCTGCACAGACCCCCGGGCAGGCAACCATGGTTCACCTGCCCCGCTGGGCTCCTGAGCTGTTCTCCTGAGCTCCAGGCCAGCTGCACAGACCCCCGGGCGTGCAACCACGGTCCATCTGGCCCGCCGAGCTCCTGAGCCATCAGGGAAGAGGCAGCTTTAGTGGGTCATTCTCTCCCCGTCTGGTCGGGCTGAGCATGAAGTGATGCTTCCAGACACAGCTAGGGGCTCTGTGCCCCTGGTTCTCCCAGTGGTCCATGTTTCCCACCCCACCACCCAGGCCCGGGAGACCCCCGAGACTTAGGGTCCCTTTCTCTCCCAAAGGAGAAGGTCTAGGCTTTGCTCAAGGTCCATTTGTGTTCATTCAGACCAGCTTCTCTGCCTTCGTTTGCTAATGACTTTCTCCAAGACCAAACACCTGCCCTTGGATGGGCTCTGGGGACCTGTGGTACTCTCCCCCTGGTGCCTACTCCCACAGTGGTTACACCCTCAGCCAAGACACTGCCCTTGCCATGACAAAGCTGTCCGCCTAGGATGGAATCCTTCAGTTCAGGACACTTCCTGAGTTAGGGCTGCTACTCCGTGTCCAAGGAGCCCTGGTGGCACTGTGGTTAAGCTCTCAGCTGCTAACTGAAAGGTCACCAGCTGCTCTGAGGGAGAAAGCTGTGGCAATCTGCTTCTGTAAAGACTACAGCCTTGGAAACCCTATGGGGCAGTTCTACTCTGTCCTATAGGGTCACTGTGAGTCAGAATCGACCCAACGGAAGGGGAGACTCAGGGTCCTAGAGGGCACTAATGGTTCAGTGGTAGAATTCTCGCCTTCCATGCAAGAGACCCAGGTTCGATTCCCAGCCAGCGCACCTCATGCGCAGCCACCACCCGTCTGTCAGTGGAGGCTTGCATGTTGCTGTCATGCTGAACAGGTTTCAGCTGAGCTTGCAGACTAAGACGGACTAGGAAGACAGGCCTGGCAATCAACTTCCGAAAATCAGCCAGTGAAAACCTTATGGACCACAGTGGTCCCATCTGCAGCCAGTCACGGGGATGGCACAGGACCAGGCAGCATTTTGTTCCGCTGTGCACTGGGTCGCCATGAGCTGGGGCCGACTTGGTGGCATTTAACAACAACAGAAGGACAAGGGGAGTTTGCAGACTCCTCCACCCCACTCCATTCCTACAGCGGGTAGTCTGAAGGAATCAGTGCTGGGTCACACTTGGAGAAGGCAAAAAAAGAAAACCAAACCCATTGCCATCAAGTCAATTCCGACTCATAGCAACCCTATAGGACAAAGTAGAACTGCCCCATAGAGTTTCCAAGGAGCACCTGGTGGATTTGAAGTGCTGACCTTTTGGTTAGCAGCCGTAGCACTTAACCACTATGCCACCAGGGTTTCCTGGAGAAGGCAAGAAGTTCCTTTATGGAATATTCCAAATTCTAGGTAATGCCTTATCCAAAGGATCTATTCCATGATTCTTCCCAGCCCCATTAAAATCCCACATCCAATCTAGCTCCCTATTCCGTTTTCCTGTAAAGGAAATGTTCTTGGATCCAAGTTCTCAGACATCTCCTAACCCATCAACACATCCTTCCTCCAAGGCTCTCTGATTGTACCTGGACTTGTAGACTCTTGTAAGCTTCTCCCACACGAAATACCCTACCTGTGGACACCTTTGTCCAGGTAACGAAAGGCGTGGGTTTCCCTGTTGCCTCGCATGGAAACACAGCATCTGTCTCCGCAGTGATGAACATGGTTTGGGGGGATTTGGTGATGATTTGGGGCTTCTCCCCAAGCATCCAGAATTTGGACGCAGGCAGTCCTCCAATGGGGAAGAGTTTTGAGCTGCTCTGATGGAAGTTTCTGGAAGGCTGGCCAGAAGACATCGTGAAAGGGCTGGAGCTCCGAGTGGAGTGGACTGGGGGGATAGTGTGTATGTTAGTTGAGGGCGATGCGGTGGCCCTGGAAGGATGCAACAGAGGAGGTGCAGGAGGACCAAAATCCACGTGGATGACGCTTTGGGACAGTATCCTGTTGTAGGAACCTGTGTTGACTTTTCTCTCTCTTGTCACTGGGGCAGGAGTGATGGGTGTCTGAGGCTTCAGGGTGGCTCCTAACTGTGGGAACACAAAGGTCCTGTTAGAGAAGAACGGAGACCTGCCATTGGAATGATGAGGAAGTCTTGAACTCGGTAGTTTTGCAGTGGGGCTTCTTTGATCAGGGATGTTGTTATTCCCAAATACTTTGGGGTTGGCATTGAACTGGTTGGCTCCATGGTCACCAGATTTCCTGGGAATGCTGGGTTTGGGTCTGTGAAGTGGAATAGGAGTTGTTGTGGTTGCTAACTTTGGAGTCACAAAGGGCTTGCTCTCTGGAAAATCCCTTGAAGGATACACCCTTATTTCTGGTTTGCTGGTCGCATGACGAGGCGGCTGGAAGGTCACCAAGTATCTAAAGGAGCTTTGAGTGGCCATATGTGGTGGCCTCCCTGTCCCTCTTGGTGGTGTAGGTTTGGTGGGACTGATACCTGGTTGGTGGAAAATTTGCACTCTTCCCTTGTGGTCGGGGATATCTGGACCTCGAGGTAGAGTGTTTGGGATCTTACTATCAAACGCCTCCTTCACCAACTCCTGCTTTGGAGAGAAGTTCACGTTGTCCTGCTTGGAAGAGGGAGTGGATACCTCATCTGGCTTCAATATATACTGCGTTCCCTTAAGGTTCAATTGGGGCGCTTCGGTTTCTGAGACACCCACATAATTAAACAGAACATTGTCTTTGAACTCTGTCGCTGTTTGAGAGGTTGTTGGAGTAAGAGGTGTGGACTTGGTGGTGGTTTGTACCAAGGACATCAGCATCGTGGGTGGGAAGGGGGATGCTTGTTCATCCAGGGAGCCAGTCGTAGAGGCGTGATCTTTCAGACTAACTTCAGGATGGACAGTTGCTGGGGTGGGTTTTTGCTGATCCTGACCATGAGTGGTGGTTTCTGCCTGGTTTGAGGGTAACTCTGGTCTTATGCTTGAGAGGGTAGCAGAAGCAGCAACTTCTCCTTGTTGAGAGAGTGTCAAGATAGCCACAGAAGGTGAAAACTCAGAAGGAAGATATGAGTTTTCCAACTCTTTCCAATGGGGAGGGTCTGTACGGGTTACCCAAGCACTGCTAACAGGTCCGCCCGTCTTCGCCCTCCGAGGCTGGGCTGTCCTGGAAGAAGTCCAGCTTGGAGTTCCTGGAAACTCTAACGGGTAAGATTCTTCCATAAATCCTTCCACAAGGGAGACCACCGAGCCAGAAGGTGATCCAATGTTAATTCCTGACTCAGTGGGGACTGGAGTGCTAGTTTTATGGTCTTTGATGTTTGCGACATCATAATCCTTCTTAATTTCCTTCCCATCAGATGCAGGCTCATATGTGACTGCAGTTGTCTCTTGGACTTTACTGAGAGATAGCTGTACTTTTGAGGTGGTTCTCATATCATCTTCTGCTTTCCTTGTCTCATGTGGTTCCCCAGTTTTCAGAGGAACAGTTGCAGATAAAAGTACAGTTTCAAAACTGGGAGTTATCACATATTTAGGTTTATTTTCTGGAAGAGAGGTGGTCTTGGGTAAAGAGCCTGTTGAGCTCACGGTGGATGTGGTATACCGATGTTTGTTTTGTTTCTTTAAGTGTTTCCTTCGTGGGGTTCCCTTGGTCACTGGTTCTGCAGGTTTCCCCATTTCCAACTGTTTGGGGATACCAACTGTGTTACCAACCCCAGATGTCAAGACAAGCGAATCCTCCACTTTGCTTGGATCCTTCATCTCCGACACTTGAGTAGGTTGGGTAGAAAATATCTCGGTGGGGGCAGATGTCGTTGGCGGAGTTTGCTTGTGCCGGTGGCGGAATCTGTGAGGCCGTAATCTTCTCCTCCCGTTGGACTTCCTGCGAAAAGGATGAGTGGTCAGCTCGTACGGTGAAGTGGTCTTTAGTTCTGATGTCATCACTGATGCTGTCGTGGTGTCCCTGTCAAACAGAGTATCAGGTGTGGTTTCTCCGGACAGCTGAAATGGAGCAATGCTGCCCAGCCCTCCTAACTCCTTGCTCTTGGGATGCCTGGAGCCTGTGGGGTCTCTCTCCCGGATATTCCCTTCCCCTGGTATCTGAGAGTTCTCCGCCATGTCTTTTTTCATCAGTGAGTTGCCTTGAGTGCCTAAGACCCCTCTCATAGGCTCCATGTTGTCTGTGTATCCTTGTAGATGTGTTTGTGCTGGTACATCTTGTTCCCTTAATGGCTCAGATGTCCTGGGGTCCACAGCCCACAAGGTGGGGGCTGGAGTGAAGCGTGTGGAGGTCAGATCTTCCATCTTATCCTCAACTGGTTGAGAATAAGTCTCTGAATCTGGGTAAAGATATGTTTCGGTCTCAGACTCCACCAAAGAGATGGCATCCAACGGCAGCTCATCCACATTGGATGTGGGCGGGGGTACAGATGCAATGCTTGGTGCTGTAGACCAACCCCCTGTTGCTACCTCTTCGTAGGTGGGCACTTCGTAGAACATGGCCAGGGTCTGCAGCGGGGAAGAAGATTCATAAGGCAAAGACCTCTGTGTAGGGACTGAAGAATCAGCTTCGGTGGAAGCTGAGTCCTCTGTCTTCCCAGAAATCTCATGATCAAGAACGTCTTCCGGTTGCATGCTTGTTACTTTGGGTTCAGCAAGAATGACCGCATCGCGGTCGTGTTCCAGTGCAATCCTGTTTAAGGAAATAGTACTCGAAACCTGCTCCTCCTCATTGAATATGGAGGTATCTGCTGAGGATTCCTCTGCACTGGTTGTTGTCTGTACCGGAGATACTGAGGGTGGAGGAGCAGCAGGAGAAAATGGTGAAACTCCTATGCCCACTGATGGAGGAGTCGTGGTTTGTATGACTTGAGGGACTTCTGTGCCCTTAGAGAGATTCCTCCCACGGACTCTGGCTAAGATATCTGCCCAGCGCTCCGGATTAATCTGTTTGTTTGCCACATTGATCCTTCTCCTGGACTCAAACGCTCGGCGACCTTCTGCAACGTTTGTCTCTGCTTCCTTTTCAGGATTCTTCCAGAGTTTCAATTTTCGTCGACCTTTCTTGGTCTTTTTACCTCCAACACTGGCCTTGTCCTTTGTTTTGATAAACATCTCTTGGTCCATTGGATGTAGAATCCTCCTTGGAGTCTTGTCTTCGATTCCGACGCCTGAGCCCCCTTCATCGTCTACGACATCTCCTCTTATTCTGGAAAGAGTCTTTGCGCCTGGGCGTCTGCCTCTTTTTGAGGTCCTGCTAGGTCCTTTCTTATTCACGGTGACCCCCACCATGAAATGGTCTGTCCCTTGTAGGTTGACAGCCACACATCTGTAGTAGCCACCATCGCTGGCTTGGACCTTTGGGATGTAGAGCGTTCCATTGCTCAGCATGTATGCATGGGATGTGTTAGCCAAATGGTTCATTATCCTTTTGCTTGGAAGAACCCAGCTAAGCTGGGCTTCGGGAATTGCCAGCGCACTGCAGGGCAATACCACTGGCTCCCCAGGGCTCTTGTTGATGGTCACTGTGTGTCCATCAGGGAGCTGAGTGACCGGCACCTGCACAGCGACCCTGTACACCATCCGGTCCATTTCATCCGTCACCTGAGCTATGCACTGGTACAATCCTGAGTCTAAGTACTCCGCCGACTTGACCCTCAGCTGACCACCACTGAGGATGGAGAACCTGCTCTCTGAGTCCTCCATGGGGGCTCTGAGGATAGAGCCATCTGGCAACACCCAGAAGATGGTGGGACTCTCAGAAGCCCTCACATTGCAGCTCAACTGAAAGGAGTTCCCTTCCAGAACCGTCTGAGCCCTTTGCATGGTTCCGCTGGGCTCGATCATCACCCAGCTTCTGCTCCGCGCCCGCCTCACATCCTTGGTGGATATCGTTTGTGAAAACTGCGCGTAATAGGAGAGCAGCACCTTTTTGGCAGTGCTCTGGCGCCGGTTCAGTTGAATGTCCACAGACGGCTGCATGACCCATCCTGGCTCTGCGAGGATGTGGGCTTTGACGCCCGTGTAGTAGAGGGCGTCGTCATCAGCATCCTGTCTGTACTCGTATTGGACGCTGGGGTCTTTGCTGAGCTTGACTTCTCGGTGCAGCTTCAGCGGGACCTCGCTGTAATATGCTATGAGTTTCCACAGCTTCTCATAGTTCTCCCTGGTCATGGGACACTCAAAGTCCAAGGTGACTGTTGCGTTGACCTCGATCTCAAGAGGGTCTGTCTGGTTCAAGAGGATTTTGTACACATCTGTGGGTTTCTTGATGCTGCAGACCAAATCCACCGTGTTTCCGTGCTCATCCGTCATGTTCAAGGAGACGTCCCACGTGGGCAGGTGGAAGCTGTCCAGGGAGAGCTGGTCATCGGTGTCTTCCTCCTCTTGTCCCTGCTCCTCCTCACTGCTCCCGCTCCGGTTCTGCCTCAGAGGAGACTCGATGAGTGGCTTCGAGCAAGCAATGTCCTTGAGCTTGTGAATCTCTTGTTTGTGCAGCTTCTTGGGACTGGAGCACGTGGTGCACAGCTGACCGCCTTCGTAGGCTTTGTCCTTTTTACACTTCAGGATCCCTAAAACGACAAAGACACAGTGTGATGGTTAGTTTTACGTGTCAGCTTGGCTAGTCTATGATTCTCAGGGGCTTGGCCAAATGCTAGACTAGTTGCTGTTCCATAACATAATGTAATGTAATATATTCATCTTCCATAATGTAATGCAATGTATGTAATGTAATGTAATCACTTTCCATAATGTAATATAATATAATGTAAAGTATTCACCTTTCATAATGTAATGTAATGTATGTAATGCAATATAATCACTTTCCATAATGTAATGTAATACAATGCAATGTAATGTAATCATCTAACCTTTATACTTGTGATTAAAAGGCACCCTGGTGGCACAGTGGTTAAAGCTCTCGGCTGCTAACTGAAAGGTCAGCAGTTCGAACCCACTAACTGCTCCACAAGAGAAAGATGGGGCAGTCTGCTTCTGTAAAGATTAAAACCAAACCAAACCCATTGCCGTCGAGTCGATTCCAACTCATAGCAACCCTATAGGACAGAGTAGAACTGCCCCATAGAGTTTCCAAGGAGCACCTGGTGGATTTGAACTGCCGACCTTTTGGTTAGCAGCCATAGCTCAACCACTATGCTACCAGGGTTTCCTCTGTAAAGATTACAGCCTTGGAAACCCTATGGGGGCAGTTCTACGCTGTCTTATAGGGTCATTATGAGTTGGAACTGAGTCAATGGCAATGGGATACCTCTGGTTGTAATTTCATTTGGAAATGGGTTTTCTTGCTGTGATGTTAATGAGGCAGTATTTACATAGGGTGTGTCTTCAGTCAATCTCTTTTGAGAGATAAAAGAAGCAGCTTAAGTAAGGGAGGAGAAATGGGGGAAGACAGATGCCATGCCATGTGAAGATCACCGAGGAACAGAAGAAATAAGGACCTTCCGCCAGAGCCCACAGAGAGAGCCTTCCCCTAGTACTGGCACCTTGAATTCAGACTTCCAGCCTCCTAAACCAAGAAAATAAATTTCTGTTTGTTAAAGCCACCCACTTGCGGTACTTCTGTTCCAGCAACATAATGACGCCCACCTGTGCTTCTCCAGCCCAAATGCACCTCTGGGTCCTCACCCAGCAGCCAGCCTCACATTTCCACGTAAATGGCACAAGGTCTCGCAATGCTAACATCAACACACCAACCATGTTCTTGCCCTGCCCCCAGCCCAGGCTCTGCACACCTCCTCTGTCTCTGTACGTGGGGCCATGGTCTCCCCAGCTGGGAAAGCTGGGAGACCAGGAGTCCTCCGTGTCGGTCCCCTTTGAGTCCACCCATGTCTTTCCTCTGCTCTGTGAGCGTCAGTTGGACGGCCGCCGGCTGGACTTGGAGTCCACTCGGCCTCCTGAATGGTGTTGCCATGTTTACTTTTCTTCTCCCCGCCACACGCACACCGTCTTCCATGTGACGCACAGACGACACGCCTCAAAATGCAAACATGGTCATGCCACACACCTTCCCCAGCACATACACACACACACACAAGCACGCGCGCACACACACACACACACACACACACACCATTTTCTATGTGACTCTCAGGGTAAATACCTCAAAATGCAAATATGGTCATGCCACTCACCTCCCCCAATGCACACACACACAAAAATACACACACACACACCGTTTTCTATGTGACTGTCAGAGTAAACTCAAAATGCAAAAACGTTCATGTCACACATATCCCTCAACACACATACACAAACATACCCAAATATACACACAAATATACACACAAATATACACAGACATAAACACACACAGACATACACATATACATAGACAAGCACACATACGTACACAAACATACACTACACACATATACACAAAAATGCTTACAAACATACACATAGACATACACACAAACACACACACATACAAACATATACACACAGACGTGACACACACAAACACACACATATAATACATAAACATACATATACAAACACACACAGGCATACACATACAGACATACACATATATACACACAGACATACTCAAGCACACACACATACACTACACACATTTATATAAAAATGCACACAGACATAGAGACATACACACAAACACACATACACACGCAGACATACACACACAGACACACACCCACATACACACACCCACAGAGACACAGAGACATGCACACACACACACACACACACACACACACATGACTCGGGATCACTGCAGAGCTAGCCCTCCATCCCCTCCAAGTCCACTGCTCCCTTCCCTAGTGGGCTACCCTTCACCTCAGGACCACAGAACCACTAGCCATTGCATTGACTCCAACTCCCGGCAGCCCTGTGTGTGTCAGAGTAGAACTGAGCTCCACAGGGTTTTCCAAGGCTGATTGTTCAGAAATAAGTCACCAGGCCTTTCTTCTGAGGCGCCTCTGGGTGGACTTGAACTGCCAACCTCTCTGCTCGTAATCGAGCGCTTAACCACTTGCACCACCCAGGGGCTTTCTTAGTTGTGGTACAAGTGAGCTTTCTTTAATACATGTACAATGCCGTGACATGACTCACGTTCATCATGCTGTGCGTCCATCACTGCTACCCGCTGCCAAATGTTTCCCTCACCCTTAACAGAAGCTCCAAGCCCCTCACCCCCTCTCTCCCGCCTGCCCCTGGTAACCACTCAGAAACGTGGGTCCCTGTAACAAAAACCAAACCAGCTGCCATTTTTTACTCCAACTCATGGCTATCCACGGGTGCCAGAGTAGAACTGTGCTCCATAGGACTTCCAGGGGCTGATTTTTCAGAAGGAGATCACCAGGCCTTTCTTCCGAGGTGCCTCTGGGTGGAGTTGGGCCCCAACCTTTCAGTTAGCAGCTGAGAGCGCTCTCCATTTGCACCGCCCAGGGCCTCCAACGTGGCAAAGAAAGGGAAAAGCATTTGCTAGCAGGAGCCACATTTGTTCAGCTCTCCTCTCTCCTTACCTCTGGATCTCGCCTCCCATTCCAGAAACCACTTCATCTCGCAGCTGCAAGCCCAGGGGTTCCCATGCAGGTAGAGGTTCTCCAGAAGGGGCATGTTCAAAAGCATCCCGGGAGGAAGAGAGCTGATGACGTTCTCCGCTAAATAGAGGTGCCTGATGGTGGAGAGTGGGAAATAGTCCAGAAAGGAGAAGGTGGAGAAGGTCCCGGGGTGCAGCTGCTGCAGGAGGTTCCCTTCCAGGTGGAGAAGTCGCAGGGACGTCAAGCCGTGGAAAGCTTGCGGGTGGATGAACTCAATCTTGTTGTGGTCCACATGCAGCCTCACCAAGCTCGAGAGGCCCTGCAGGGTCCGTCCCGTGATCACACGAAGCTTGTTGTAGCTGAACTTGAAAACCTACAAAGACAAGGAAGTGCTGAATGGTGCTTACGGTGAAAGCAAGCTCCAGCCAAGAACAGAAACCAGATTAGAGCGCAGGAGAGTCATGATGTTAAGCTCGTTTTAATGTTTAAAAAAAAAGTCAATTTTACTGATCATTAAAAAAAAAAAAAAAAGAGTTGCTATCGAGTCGATTCTGATGTGTAGCGCCCCCATGTGTGTCAGAATAGAACTGCGCTCCATGGGGCTTCCAATGGCTGATTCGACAGCAGATGGCTAGAACTTTCCTCTGAGGTGCAAATGGTTAAGAGCTTGGCTGCTAACCAAAAGGTTGGAGATTCGAATCCACCCAGAGGTGCCTCAGAAATTGATCATTTGTTGTTGTTAGATGCCATGGGAGTCAGCCCAATGCACAATGGAACGAAACCATGCCCAGTCCTGCACCATCCCCATGATCGGTTGCAGACAGACTGTGATGATTGATTTGGTTTGCATTGCCTGATTTTTGTAGATTGGCAGGCCTTTCTTCCTAGTCTGTCTCAGTCTGGAAGAGCCTCGGAAACTTGTTTAGCATCATGGTGTTGTTGGGTGACATCAAGTTGATTCTGACTCATAGTGACCCCATATGACAGAGTAGAACTGCCCCCATAGGGTTTCCTAGGCTGTTATCTTTATGGAAGCAGATTGCCAGGTCTTTCTTCCTCGGAACAGCTGATTGGGTTCGAACCGCCAGCCTTCTGGTCAGCAGCAAGGTGCTTAACCGTTTCACCACCAGGGCTCCTGGGTCAGCATCACAGCAACACGCAAGCCTGCACTGACAGATGGGTGGTGGCTGTGCATGAGGTGCCTTGGCTGAGGTTTGAACTCAGGTCTCCTGCATGGAAGGTGAGAATTCTACCACTGAACCACCACTCCCTCAGTTGAGCATTTCTTAAAAAAAAAAAAAAAATGTTGCCGTCAAGTTGATGCCGATTCAAAGCGACCCTATAGGACAGAGTAGAACTGCCCCACAGGGTTTCCAAGGAGTGGCTGGTGGATTTGAACTGCCAGCCTTTCGGTTAGCAGCCAAGCTCTTAACCACTGCCCCACCAGGACTCCCACTTGAGCATTGGGAGTGTTACATAGTTTCTATTCTTTATTACCGTCTAAGAGGCTGCAGGTAGGGATGGCTGTGAGTGCCCGGCTCACCTGCAGAGAGCCGAGGTCTCGTAACGCCCCGTCAGGGATGCTCGGGATGTCATTTCCATGAATCATAAGTAGCTCCAACTTCGTCAGTCCCGCAAAGGAGGTTTCTGACAGGGCCTGGATACTATTAAACCTTAAGAGAGAAAGAGGGAGGGAATTAGGATTGTTGTTGTTGGGTGATGTTGAATCAATTCTGACTCATAGCAACCCCATGTGACCGAGTAAAACTGCCCTATAGGGTTTCATAGGTTGTAATCTTTATGGGGAGCCCTGGTGGTGCAGTGGTTAAGAGTTTGGCTGCTCACCAAAAGGTCTGCAGTTCAAATCCACCAGCCGCTCCTTGGAAACCCTATGGGGCAGTTCTACTCTGTCCTATAGGGTCACTAGGAGTTGGAATTGACTCGATGAAAACATGTTTGGTTTTTTTAAAAAAATCTTTATGGGAGCTGATTGCCAGGCCTTTCTTCAGAAGTGCCTCAGGGTGTACTCAAACCTCCAATCACTTCGTTAGCAGTGGAACCAACCCTTAATCTTTTGCACCACTCAAGGACTTCCAGAAATCCCACACAACCTTCCCAGGAGCAAGTTAGCAAGCTGGTGATTCTGAGTTCATGTTGGTGCCATGTCCAAGGCATCTCCATTCCCTTGTGTTCTTGGTCAACAGGAAGCTGACATGGTTTTATTAACCTTCACTCAGTCAAGGACTGTTCGCTGGGGATTGTGCCTCAGGATACGCTAACATCATTAGAGGTTGTTTCAGGCTGATAAACAGGACCGAGGATTCTAATGAGGCTGGTGCACACGGCTCCTGGTTGAGGACGCTGCTCCTAAGTGACAGGGATGAGTGACACCTGGTCCCGAGTGAGGACCAGGCAGCAGCGGAAATAGCTATGCATAAAACGAGACAAAGGAGCCCTGGTGGTGCAATGGCTAAGCGCTCAGCTGCTAACTGAAAGGTCAACAGTTCAAACCAACCAGCCACCCTGAGGGAGAAAGATGTGGCCGTCTGCTTCCTTCCGTAAAGATTACAGCCTTGGAAAGCCTACGGGGCAGTTCCACTCTGTCCCATGGGTTCCCTATGAGTCGGAATCAACTTGACAGCAAAGGGTAATAACAGGAGGAAGAGAACGCTATGAGCCACTAAGGATCCAGGTTAAAGCATTGACAGCCAGCATAAAAACAAGAACAAAAACAAAAAAAACCTCCAAAAAAAAAACCCCAAAACCATTGCCGCCAAGTTGATTCCTACTCATAGCTACCCTATAGGACAGAGCAGAACTGCCGCACAGGGTTTCCAAGGCTGTAAACGTTTATAGAAGCAGACTGTCACATCTTTCTCCCATGGAGTGACTGGTGGATTCGAACTGCTGACCTTTCGATTGGCAGCCAAGCGCTTTAACCCCTGTGCCACCAGAGCTCCTTGACAGCCAACATAGTTAAACTTATTTCACAAGGTCAAGTCGCTACTTCTGGTGAGTCATCAGAGTTATTTGTAAATGTTCTGTTTTTTTGTGTATTTTTTCGGTGGGGGTATTGTATTTTTTTTTTTTTTTTTTGCATAAGCATTAGTAACAATGCAGTCTTGACCTGTTTAGACTTCCCTCATTGCTATGCTGGGAACGTTGTTGTTATTGGGTACCATCAAGTCGATCCTGACTCATAGCGACCCTGTGTGACAGAGTAGAACTTCCCCATAGGGTTTTCTAGGCTGTAATCTTTACGGGAGCAGGTCACCAGGTCTTTCTTTCACAGAGCCACTGAGTGGGTTTGAACCGACAATTTTTGGTTAGCAGCCAAGGGCTTAACCACTGGGCCATCAGGGCCCCTTACACTACTTTTGTTGTTGCTGTTGGGTGCCACTGAGTCGATTCTGACTCAAAGCAACCCCATGTGACAGAGTAGAACTGCCCCATAGGGTTTTCTAGGCTGTAATCTTTAAGGGAGCAGATTGCCAGGTCTTTCTTCCCTGAAGCCACTGGCTAGGTTTGAACCACCAACCTTTTGGTTAGCAGCCAAGCCCAGGGCTCCTTATATAGGGAGTGGTGCATGGGAAACTCCAACTTAATCCCTAGAGAACCAGTTTTAACGTGAATGGAGAATCCTGCACAGCGCCTTACAGAGGGCGCTCAGCTTACATACGAGATGTAACAAGTCTGTCGCTGGTGGTGGGGTTGCAGTGGAGCTGGCCCTGACGCATGGCGACCTCACGCACGACAGGACCCAATGTTGCTGGGTCCTGTACCAGCGCCATGACTGGCTGCAAATCACACCATTGGGACCCATAGGGTTTTCACTGGCTGATTTTTGGAAGTAGGTTGCCAGGCCTTTCTTCCTAGTCCATCCTAGTCTGGAAGCACCACTGAAACCTGTTCAGAATCATAGCAACACACAAGCCTCCACTGACAGGCAGGTGGTGGCTGCGCATAAGGTGCATTGGCTGGGAATCGAACCCAGGTCTCCTGCATGGAAGGCAAGAGTTCTACCACAAACTACCACTGCCCTAGAAAGGCAAGTCAAGGAGGAATTTTCTCCCCTCCAGCACCCCAGGATGTGGATGCATCCTATTTGTGTTGTCTTAAGACTCAGCAAAGGGTTGGGCAAAGCAGCTCGGACTAGGGGAACAGAACCTGACCAGAAGCTCAAATCACCTTGAAATCAGCCCATTTCTCCAACTTCCTGGTCACTTAGCCTCCTCTCCAAATTATCTTCCTCACCTCTTGATTGGAAATAACCAGCTCCCTGGATTGTGCAAACAGTCAATGCTCTCAGCTGCTAACTGAAATGTTGGCAGTTTGAGTCCACCCAGAGGCACCTCGGAAGAAAGGCCTGGTGATCTACTTCTGAAAAATCAGCCATTGAAAACCCAACGGAGCACAATTCTACTCTGACACACATGGGGGCGCCGTGAGTCGGAGTCGACTCCACGGCAACTGGTTTCAACACATGAAGTGAAATGTCTACGTCAGACCATGTATGTCAAATCGCTACAGAGGAGCCAGTTAGTGTTACAAAGCAACATTTAACATAGGTGTGGTTCTTTGTGGAGTTCCAGACAGATGTCATCAAAACTAATTGTTTTGATCAAGAAAAAAAAGTCTTTAACAATCTGTCAGTCAGATGTTGTAGATGTTGTTGGGTGCCGTCAAGTCAGTTCCGACTCCTAGCCACGCTGTGTACAGCAGAACGAAAGGCTGCCCGGTCCTGCGCCATCCTCATGATCGTTGTTATCTGACATTCGATGGGTGATTTTTTGTTTACTCAAAAAACATGTGGAAAGTAATTTATGGAACAGCTGTGAGCTGTCCAAGCGGAAGGAGCAGACCTCTCTTTAAAGGCTGGCTGAGAAATCCCGGAGACAGCTGTGTGGGAACCTTCTGCCAGTAATACTCCATTCCTTGAGAGTGTCATAGTCTCTCCAAAGCGCTCAATGACAAATCAGCCCTCCAATTTTATCTGTATTCGATATTCATCTTGCTTCTTTCTTTCCCATCAAAATGCGCGATGCCAGCTCCATGCTCTCCTCCGAGACAGCTTCAGAAATGTGGCTGTCATATTATAAGGAATGAGGATGAAAAAGGTGACAATTTCATTCATTCTACAAATTAAAGGAGATGGAAGTTATCTATGTACAGGCGACAAAGCACTTCCGTTGTTTTCTTTTGTCTTTAATGTCACACGAAACCATCTCAAAATATCATTGGCATGAAGAGAAAAGGGGACACGCGGGTATCTTTGCTTTATGCTACTGGTGAGGATTTTTAAGACACCATAAGGCAGTCTTTGCTGTTAGTTATTTTAAAGGAAACCGCCAGAAGCCGTATTGTAATTTCGAGGTTGGTAAATTTTCCCACTTAGAAAACACTTGAAAGAGGAATGGAAAGAAACATAGGCCAGAAATGAAATAAAATGTAAGATAAAATGGTGTTGCAAGTCTAAACCCATCATAGAGTTAACCTTCTCCTTTGGGAGGGTACACATGATATCTGTCTCTCCCCTGCTTCCGACCTGACTGCCCTGCCCCAACATGCCACGTACAGTCGACAGGCACAGTTCTGCCCGACTTCCACCCCAAGCTCTCTTGGGGGCTGTCATAACTCCTGACAGTACCCCCCACCCCGGCTGTGTCCTCTGCCAAGGGGCTGGGTTTCGGAGAACAGCAGTCAATGCACGCACCTGCTGCATCTCTTCTCTTTTTGAAGAAAAACCAAACCCGTCAAGTTGACTCTGACTCCTGGCGACCCCACATGTGTCACGGTAGAACTGCGCTCCACAGTGTTTTCAATGGCTGATTTATAGGAAGTGGATCACCAGGACTTTCTTCTGAGGCACCTCTGGGTGGCCTCAAACTTCTAACCTTTCAGTTAGCAGCTGAGCGCGTTAACCGCTTGCACTGCGCAGGGGCTCTGTTTTTGGAACAGTGTGCTGAAATGTGGTTCGTCAAAGGAACAATCCCAGGACGGAACCATTTTGCATTCCGGAAAGTGTATGCGAGAGAGGGAAATTGTAGATAAAGCTCCACTATCCCTCTCTACAAAAAACAGCTCAGCTCATCCTAAACCAAAACAAATTAAAAAACACCAAACCCGTTGCCGTGGAGTCAACTCCGACTCATAGTCACCTTACAGGACAGAGTAGAACTGCCCCGCAGGGTTTCCAAGGCTGTCATCTTTATGGAAGGAAGCAGCCTGCCACATCTTTCTCCCGTGGAGCAGCTAGTAGGTTCAAACCACCAACCTTATGGTTAGCAGCTGAGCACTTAACTGCTGCACCACCAGCTCATCCTACCCTGGTTCTAACGGGCTTTATCTCTTCTTCCTTTTCTCTTACTCCCACGAGACAAGTGATGTCTCCTAATAAATTTTCAGATTGTAAAAATGGGAACTGGGTTAGCTATTAATATTTCTTCTGGCAAAACCCAATTGTTTTCCCAACTGGGTTTTCCCATCATTGCTGTATTTCCAGATCCTCAAAGCTAAGGCTTTCCAAGATTTTATCGAGACAGCTACTTCACGGTTGACTGCCGTAGATTAGCGAAGTTGTTATCTAACTGTCTTAACTTCCTATTCTCTCTTATTCTACTCCTGGGCTTCAATACATGCAAGAATTTTTTTAACTTTGTACTTTAAGAGGAGTCCCTGCATGGCGCAAACGGTTAAGCGCTTGGCTGCTAACCGAAAGGTTGGAGGTTCGAGCCCACCCAGAGATGCCTTGGAAGAAAGCCCTGGTGATCTACTTCCAAAAGATCACAGCCACGGGAATCCCTGTGGAGCACAGTTCTACTCTAACACATGTGGGGTTGTCACGAGTTGGAATCGACTCCACGGCAACCGGAAAAAATACTTGAAGATAATTTGCAATTATTTGTTCATTGGCTTAAGCTTGCCATTTCTTTTTATTCAAACATCTTCACAGTGGGTATTCATCAAACTGTAAATTGTTTTGTTGTTTTCTCAAAGTCAGGAAATGCCTCATGTATTTTGATGAAATCCAAATGATCATTTACTATTAAGACTGCAGCTATCAGTATCTGCAATTCATAGCAGTTAGAAACCCTGGTGGCGCAGTGGTTAAGAGCTACGGCTGCTAACCAAAAGGTCGGCAGTTCGAATCCACCAGGAGCTCCTTGGAAACCCCGTGGGGCAGTTCTACTTTGTCATATAGGGTTGCTATGAGTCGGAATCGACTCAATGGCAATGGGTTTGGTTGGGCTCCTTATTTGTGTAAGGAGCCTGCTGGTGGCGCCATGTTTAAGCACTTGGCTGCTAACCTAAAGGTTGGTGGTTGGAACCCACCCAGCAGCTCTGCTAAAGAAAGACCTGGCAATCTGCTCCCGTAAAGATTACAGCCTAGAAAACCCTATAGGGAAGTTCTACTCTGTCACATGTGGTCAACAAGGGTCGAAATTGACTCGATGGCACCTAACAACAACAGCATTTATATATATAAAATAGTTCTATGTACAAGAGGAAATACAAGATATAGAATTCTGTCTGGAATGCTGACTAGTAATCTCTTTCTCTTTGAAAAAATATAGTAATATTCAAATAGGCAAAATCTGACAGAACTCTTCTACTTCCTCAATGTCACAATTCCATCATCTAGAGAACTTACAAAATGTCACAGATACTCTATGTTTTTCTTTTTTTATTATCCTTAGTTTCGGAAGTCTATTTAAATAACCCTTATATATTTCAGTGTGTATCATCTGCATTGTCATGCTTGCTGTTGTGTGCCGTTGAGTCAATTCTGACTCATAGAGACACCCTGTGACAGAGCAAAACTGCCCCATAGGGTTTCCTAGGCTGTAATATTTACAGGAGAAGATTGCCAGGTCTTTCTTCTGTGGAACCACTGAGTGGGTTAGAACCTCCAACCTTTTGGTTAGCAGCCAAGTGCTTAACCATTGCACCACCAGGGATCCTTTTCATCTGCATTAAAAAAAAAAAAAAACATTGCTGTCGAGTTGACTCCAACTCATAGTGACCCTATAGGACAGAGAACTGCCCCCATAGGATTTCCAAGGAATGGCTGGTGGATTCAAACTGCTGACCTTTTAGTTAGCAGCCTGAGCTCTTAACCACTGTGCCACCAGGGCTCCTGTCTGCATTAGTATCTACAAGTCACAGAGGAATGCTATCAAAGGAAATGTCTTGTCAATCGAAGGTGTTCATCGTGCTTTAAGAGTCAACTTGTGGTATGTGGTTGCGGCTGATCAATATATTCAGCTAATCCCCCCAAAAGGACCACATTTAGTGTAGCTGACAGCTGCTACCTCTAGTGCACACAGAAACCATGAACAGATAGCACAAGAGACATAGCAAGTTACGTTGATACACATATGTGTATATGCAAAACCAGATAAACATGCAAGCAAGGACACTGGAGTTGTTCAGTGACAATGCCGTATACAAACCCCAAATTGATTCTTTCCACGTGTTTAGAAATCCCAGCGGGCACGGAAGCCAGGGAGCGGAACGTGCAATGAACCTCGCTAGGAACGTAGCAGGCGCAAGGATGCGGGCAGGCCTGGACGTCCCCCGCGTGTCCCCAGAGCAGAATCAGCACCACGGAGAGCGCCCCCCAGCGCGCACGCGTGGGCATCTTGTCGGGTGCGCTTCCTCTGGGTACCTGGAGTGGAGCGAGGAAAGGAGAGGCGGTTGTTGCCAGGTGGCGTTACTTCTTGTTAGTAATTCTGCCTTTAAATTATGTAGCATGGTTTCCAAGCTTCACAAGCCTCCAAATGATACATTTTAGTGACACTTAAAACGTTTGGGTCAAGAAAGGCACAACGTGTTTTTTTTTTACCTTCTTCCATTAATCGTGACTGTGGAACATATTCTTTATTCTCGACTTTGATGTTATTATTTGGATAGTTGACTACGTTTTTCTCTACAAGCTGTGGGTTTGGAATAAACATACGCACACAAATACATATGTGTGTAGGTGTGTGTATATATATGTATATAAAACCAAACCTATTGCCATTGAGTTGATTTTGACGCACAGCGACCCTATAGGACAGAGAAGAACTGCCCCATAGGGTTTCCAAGCAGCGGCTGGTGGATTCGAACTGCTGGCCTTTTGGTTAGCAGCCGAGCTCTTAACCACTGTGCCACCAGGGCCCCTTATATATATATCAGTGGTCCTTGGGTGGCAAAAACAGTTAAGCACTTGACTAGCAGCTGAAACGCTAGTGATTTGAATTCACCCAGAGGTGCCAGAGCTAGCAATCTGCTTCCAAAAGGTCACAGCCTTTAAAGTCTTACAGAGCAGTTCTACTCTGCGCACAGGAGTTGCCATGAATCAAAGTCAACTCAACAGCAACTTGACAACAACATATACATATATATATGATGGTTAAGGTTATGTATCAACTTGGCTAGACCATGATTCTCAGAGATTTGGCAGATATTATATAATCATCCTCCATTTTGTGATCCGATGTGAGCAGCCAATCAGTTGAAAAGGGAGTTTCCTTGGGGGTGTGGCCTGCATCCAATATATATGGATGTTCTGGCAAAGCTCACCCTCTCTCTCAATCCTGCATCTGACTCGTCATCCTCTGACCTCCCATTCTTGGGACATGAGCCAGCGGCCTGCCGTCTGACCTGCAGATTTTGGGATTCACCAGCTTTCATAGCCCCATGAGCCACCAGCCTGCCATCTGACCTGCCAATTTTGGGTTTGTCAGCCCCTGCAACCACATGAGTCAGGAGAAGCCCCCAGCCTGATTCCTGACCCATGAATTTGGGGCTGGCCAGCCTTCACAACTGCATGAGCCACTTCCTTGAAATAAATCTCTTTGTATACTTTCATATATACGCTTCACTGGTTTTGCTTCTCTAGAGAACCTAGCCTAAGACATTTGGTACCAAGAGTGGGGTGCTGATCTAACAGACACCTAAAATGTGGAAACAGTTTTGGAATTAGGTAATGGGTAGAGGCTGGGAGAGTTTTAAGATGCCTAGTAGTAAAAGCCTAGGTTGCCTTGAAGAGATTTGTTGGTAGAATTATGGGCATCAAAAGCAGTTCTGGTGAGGGCTCAGAAGGAAGTGAGGAGAGCTATAGAGAAAGTCTCTATCATCTTACAGAATGCATATGGCACCAGCAACAGAATGTTGCTAGAAATGTAGACATTAAATGTGCTTCTGGTGAGGCTTTAAAAGAGAATGATGAGCATGAGCTTGGACAATGGAGGAAGGGTGATGCTTTTCATGCAGTGACAAAGAACTTGTCTGCATTATGTTCAAATGTTTGGTGGAAGGTAGAACTTGTAAGAGACAAACTTGGATGTTTGGCCGAGGAGATTTCTAAGCAAGATCTTAGAGGGGTTACGTGGTTTCTCCTTGCAGCTTATAGTAAAATGCGAGAGGAAAGAGATGGACTTAAAAATGAACTGTGCAAAATGAAAACAAAACTTAAAGATGTGGAAAATTCTGTTGTACAAACTAAGGACACATGTCCTAGGATGTTCACCAAGGATGTGCCTACACAATCTTTTGTTAAAGAGATGAAGCCTGTGACTGATGAATCTAACGAACTACCACAGCAGAAAACCCATCAGGTTAGACTGAAGGGGACAAAAAGAATGAAAGGAAAGAACACTGTCTGCCTCTTGGAATTCTACAGGCAGGAATCAGGCCAAAGAATCTGTATCTGTTGTTCTCCAAGAAAAAAAAAGGACCACCCCTGGAGCAGCTCAGAGATCAGCACAACTGTTAGAAAGAACATGGAAAGCAGGACTGCATCGATTTCAAAGGGTGGGGCCATGGTCTCCCGGATCTCAAAGGGTGGGGCCACAGCCTCCTAGGTTTAAAAGAGTCATATCTTCACCAACTCAGTCCCAGAGTGTGGGGCCACTGTTAAGGTGTGCCAGGGGGGTGAGGCGACTGCCCAAACTGAGGAGGTGGGGCTACCATGCCCAAGGGGCTGAAGAATGGGGCCTGCTGGGCATGGGATTACCACTCAGATGGGCTGGAGAATGGGGCTGTCCAAAACCAAGGAAGCAGAGCTGCCATCCCCTGTGGGCCTGGAAGGCAGAGCTGAAGCCCAGGACTGAGGCGGCCTCCACCCAGAATCCAGAAGGCAAAGCCATTGCCCAGATGGTCCCAAAGAACAGAGGATTATTTTCAAGTCTTGAGAGCTAATGTAAATGTTCTGCTGGGTTTTGGACTTGCTTGATGCCTGTTATCCCTTCTTTCCCTCCAGTCTCCCCCATTTGTAATGGAAATGTCTACCTTGTGCTTGTTCCACCATTGTGCTTTGGAAACACATAACTTGTAATCTAGATTTCACAGGTTCACAGATGAAGAGGAATTTTGCCCCAGGATCGAATACACCTACAGTCTCACCTATATCTGACTGAGATGATTCAGAAGATGAGATTTTGGATTTGGAGTTGATTTAAGACTTTTGGGAGGATGTGATGGGGTGAATCCATTTTGCATGTGGGAGGGATATGAATTTGGGGGGGGCCAAAGGGTGAAATGTTATGGATTGAATTGTGTCCCCCCAAAATATGTGTTGTAAATCTTAACCCCTGTATCTGTGATTATAATCCTATTTGGGAATGGGTTGACTTTTTGTGTTAATAAAACAGGATTAGTGTAGGGTGTGTCTTAAGTCAATCTCTTTTGAGACATAAAAGAAATTAAACAAGCAATCAAGAGCAGCAGAGATGGGGTAAGAGAGATGCCAAGCCACATGAAGATCACCCAGGAGCAGAAATTCAAAGAGACAAGGACCTTCCTCCAGAGCTGACACAAAGAAAGCCTTCCCCCAGAGCCAGCAACCTGAATTCAGACTTCTAGCGCCCTAAACTGCAGGAAAATAGATTTCTGTTTGTTTTTGTTAAAGCCAACCATTTATGGTATTTCTGTTATAGCAGCACTAGGTAACTAAGACTACATGTATACATATATAAAGAGATTGCATGAGATTTAATTTTAATTACCAGCAACAAAAAATCCACTGCCATCAAGTCTATTCCAATGCACAGCAACCTTGTAGGACAGAGTAGAACTGCCCCATAGGGTTTCCAGGGCTATGATCATTATGGAAGCACACTGCCACGTTTTTCCCCAGGAGTGGCTGGTGGGTTCGACCTTTAGGTTAACAGCTGAGCACTTAACCACTGTGCTCATAAGGCTCATCCCATAATAAATGCTAGATTTCTGCCTCCAAATGATAAGACTGGGTCATTGTATATTGAATATATTTGAATCAAAAATATTTCTCAAGAAAGTCATTATTATCAGGAGTGTTTCCTTTCTTTAGTGACAGTCTTCAAAGTTTTAGCTGTAACTCCTTAAAGGGCTTGGAGATGCACCCTCTAGAGACTTACCCATCCATTAGTAGTTTACCATCTTTGTTTTTCTCTTGGAAGACCCAAAGGGTTTTGATGGTTCAGCACCAGGGTTTATCAGAGGAAATGTGGGGGTGGGGATGGGGGTGGGGGTGAGCCACTGCACAATCTACCATCAAATAAAGAGTAAAAGAACTGCTTGATAAAATATGTTCAGGCAAAGAGAAAAAAAAAATTGGACGAGGTCTCAAAAATATTGGACATGCTTCATTAGATTACACCAGCTACATCGTCTAGAATAACAGAGGTGAATTTATTTTTCATGCATTGGCCATGCCTTCATCATCATATATTTTTGTCATCTCTTGAAGTGTGCGTAAAAATAGCCATACGCACGGAAAGTACAGGGCGCACGGAGCACCACTGAGGGGCCCCCTTATCCTCTGTTTAAGCCACTCTTCCAGGCGGGGGGTGGGGGGGGGACAGTTGCCCTAGGGGACTCTGGCCCTTGGTGGCCCCGTGTGTGTCAGAGTTGAACTGTGCTTCATGGGGTTTTCAATGGCTGATTTTTCGGAAGCAGATCCCCAGGCCTTTCTTCTGAGGCGACTCTGGGTAGAGTCGAACCGCAAGCCTTTGGTTAGCTGCCTAGCGCGTTAACTGTTTGCCCCACCCAGGGACTCCCATCCAGGGGAAGGGCATCCCAAATCCGTAGCTTTTCCATCTTTTCAATGACCTCGAAATACGCATGTTCCTGAACCCCTGCGCGTCTCCCCCTTTCAGTTACCCAGGAAGCGCTGACGGTGCAGGGAGCTTTGCAAAAAGCAAGTTGGCGCTCCACCTCTCAGCGCTGGAAAGAACGCGCCCCAGCAGCTTGCAGGGAGGAGTTCCCTGGCTTTCCCCAGCTGGGCTTTCCCCGCCTCCGGCTGCGCGCTTACCCTGGGCTCTGCTGGGTATCTTCCAGGGCATTCTGGCCCCCAGCCCTGCGCCCTGGGCCCGCAGGCGGACAGTGCTGACGGGTCCTCGATGCGTCCCCAGCCTTGGCGCTCCGCCTTTCCTCTCCCCGTGATCCTCCCAGGAGACCCCGTGCCCGCAGGGAACCCTAGTTCCGGGGACACCCGGCCGCGGAAGGCGCCCTGCGCCTGCAAACCCCCCACCCCCCACCCCTTCTCGGGATGGTCCCCGAACCCTGGAAGCAAGTGGGGCCGGGGCTCGAGGCCGCCCTTCCTCCCTCCCCTCCGGGGCCGACGACCTGGCGCTGCGGGCGGGCGGCTCCGCGCCCTGGCCGACTTCCAGCGGC